TTATGGTTTTCCCAAAGTCAATGCAGCTTTCAAAATCCATTGACTCTCCCTGCTAATTTCCCTTTCAATGTAGCTTCTTTTGTAAATGTAGCTTCTTTGGTGTTTTCTTCTCCAAAAAATTGGGTAACAGTAGTTACCTCTCAGGATGGTTGTGAGAAGGAATTGAAATGATGCCATTGAACCCTATAAAAGCTGCACAAACATAGTCCTTATTTTGTTTGAAAGTACGTGAAAAATGTAAGAAGAAACATACTCGATTACAACGCATAGTTAAAATAAACCATAGCTTTTATTTATTTAATGATTCCTAATTGTGGTACAAAAGAGTTGCCTTCCAGTAATGAATATTGACCTGCTTCCAGTTTTGTGTTGTTGTGGACTTTTGATGATTTGTTTGAGAATTGCTCAGTAGCAGTTTACATCATTTATATAACTTATTTGTATGTCAGCCGGGGTTTTGAATTGATTTATCAATGGAAAAGTAATCGTCAAAGATCCGAGTTTAGATATTTCAATTTGCAAAAGCTAAATGTCCAAGCATAAGAGTGATTTGCACATCTTTACGAAAGCCAGGTTCTCAGGTTTGTGAATTCAGCTGGCTTACTCATGCATTCATTTATTCTTCCATTCAACACATGTACCTATCTCCCTGGTGCCCAGCACTCTGCAGAGATCAATCAGCCGAAGACCCTGCCTCCGTTACCTAACAGATCCCTTTTAATGAGCCTATGACTTCTATGGCTCCATGGTAAATTCAGATCATTCTTTTTATGTAGGTGCTGGTATGCTGCGTCTAGCGTTTTCCTTGAATCAGTATTAAAAGGACTATTTGTATATCTGAGGGACCATCGAAGTAATGAGCATTGTAACATGCTTTTAACCTTTGTTCTGATGCCCTCTCAGACAGGAGGAGGAAGAGAAACTCATAGAGTAGAATGAATATATCAGAATCTACAATGTACCTTTTGTTCTTTCTGCTTTTGGTAGCTGCTATTTAGGTCACCAATTATTTCGTTGTTGGCAGATTTATGGACTTTTTTCGTTCTTACCTCTCAGTTTCATTTAACTTGTAGCAACTCTCTTTTTTTAAAACAATTCGGAAAAGTTTATCAAATGAAGAAATGAGAGGGAGAAAAACAGAAATAGAGAAAGTCGGAAAGACAATATCCGTGCGAGAGAGAAAGGAGAGAGGGGCAGCTGGCACACATAACTTCTCCCTCCCTTCTGTGCATCACGGTATCACTTCTCCTGTATACAGTCCAACCAGCTTTTCTCGTTCTTCAGCCTTTTCCAGTCACTTACATTGCCCAAGGGTTGGAATTCCCCCTTCTGCTTGGTTTTTGAATTTGTATTTGTAGTTTCTCATCCAGAGCATAACAACTTTGTGATCACACCTGTCATGTTTATTCCAATGACAATGGGATCCGTCCCTTCCTTTCATCTGAACCTCAGCTCCCCATTGCTAGCAGACCTCTTCAAACGCAAAACAAACATGTTGGCATTTTACAAAAATTGAGAACACGGAAAATCGTGACGAGGAAAATTTTTAAATCACAAATTTTACATGCATAATTTGATTTTAGGATTCTCCACAAGACACTGGCAATATCTGTTTTACTTGTAAATGCAGAGTAACCATTACTGGTGGTTCTTTTAAAACAGGATTCCTTCACACTTTGCCACGACATACCATCCAGGCATACTGTTCCACCCTGAACGCAAATCTTAATTAAAACGTTGATTTTGGGGGCACCTGGGCGGCTCAGTCCATTAAAGATCCGACTTTGGCTCAGGTCATAATCTCACGGCTCGGCTTGTGAGTTCGAGCCCTGCGTCTGACTCTGCTGACAGCTCAGAGCCTGGAGCCTGCTTTGGATTCTGGGTCTCCCTCTCTGTCTGCCCCTTCCCTGCTCGTGCTGTGTCTCTCTCTCAAAAATAAATAAACATTAAAAAAATTTTAAACATTATTTTTTGTTGTTTTTCTATTAGTAGAAAGAATAGTAGTGGTATAGAGATGTTCCTTTGTATCTTTGATTTAGCCCATGTTTTTGAAGGAAAAGAAAATGAAACAAAAAAATCCTAGTTACCTTTAATATAAACCTGTACTAAGATACTTGGATGAGCAATATAAATCCAAATAACTCCCAATTATCACAACAGCAGTGGTAACCACCACTCATTATGCCCGTGTATGATTTAACCCTACCGGGCAGATATAGAGAAAACAAGACTCAAAGGAGTTAAATATTTACCCAAGATCACACAGATAACGAATGGTAGAGTTAAGATTTTTCTGAAGCAGCAGCCTGGGAATTTAACTTTTCACTACAAAACATGGCTTGTATGATGCAGCGGTTACTGACAGGTTAGCTCCAAGGAATGCAAGCATTTTACTCTGTTCATTGTTGTAACTCAAGCCCCTACACAGTGTGTGGAACATTGTAGATGCTCCCAAAATATTTGTGGAGCGAATGTTTGGTTTCTCTTCCTTGTTTCAGAAAGGACTAAACGTGGATGTTTCAGTTATCTGTCGCCGAGTAACAAATCACCCCCAAATTTAGTGGCTCAAACCACAACTATTTATTTGTCTGTGATTCTCTAATTTGGGCAGGGCTACGTGGGGCTCATCTCCGCTCCACATTGCATCAGATGGGAACTTGGCTGAGATCAGACTGAGAATGGCTCTGGTTGTCCAGTGTCTCTCTCCACCTAGACTTACCATTTGGCAATCTTAGTCTTTTTTTTTTTTCAATTTTTAATGTTTATTTATTTTTGAGAGGGACAGAGACAGAGTGTGAGCATGGGAGGGGCAGAGAGAGAGGGAGACATAGAATCCGAAGCAGGCTCCAGGCTCTGAGCCGTCAGCACAGAGCCCAACTCAGGGCTCAAACTCATTAGCCAAGCTGTGAGATTGTGACCTGAGCTGAAGTCAGATCTTTAATGGACTGAGTCACCCAGGCTCCCCTTAGTAATCTTATTCTTATGTGATATCTTGATCCCAAAAAGCAAACACAGAAAGTCCCAGATTTCCTAAACTAGCACAGTGTCACTTCTGCCAAAGCAAGATGTAAGACCAGCCCAGATTCAGGGAGGAGGAGGAGGAGGAATCAAATGGATCCCACCTTTGATGGGACGAATGGCGCATGTGTACCAGGAGGGGTGGGTATTTACAGCTGGTTTTGGAGACTACCGGCCATAGGAGACAAATGAAAATTACTCAACTCTGAATTTGTGGTGAAGTCTTATCACCTGAGATCCTTGATGAAGAGAACTTTAATTTTTACAGCTAAAAAAAAAAAAAAAAAAAATACGCCAGATTACAATCCTGACATAATGGATGGAAGGGGCCACACATAATGCCAAGGCTTTGCTACCATTTTTACGAAGTGCTTACCAGGTACGTTATCTGTAGACAATTTTTATTTTATTTTTCAGTTACTGAAAAACTATTATAAGTGGAGGGCAGAATGTCCAGAAATAAGTGCCGATCTACGCCCTAGAAGTATCCTTGGCCTTCTGAAGGCCGGTTACCTTGGAGTTCTGAGAGCCAGAGATCCCACTGGCAGCAAAGTTCTTATTTACAGAATCGGTAAGTCACACGTAGTACTTTTTTTCTTTTTCTTTTTTTTTCTTGACTGCCCTATTGAAAGCTTTAATGAGTCCATATTTAAGAATTCAGCTTTTTAGGTTTTCACTTAGGTTTAATTAAGATTTTAATGTCCCTCAAATATAATAAAACTGGCAATTGTGAGAAAATTAAAAGCCAATGAAAATCTTACTTCCATTCTTCCACACAGTCAACTGTATAAAATAAGAGAGAAAGAAAACAGAGTAGAGAAATAAGGAAAAAAGGTGAAAACATCAAGGTAAAGGCTTTAAAAAGTACTCAGTAGGAAATCCAAATAAAAATTCTGAACTGTAATAATGCCACATGAGAGCATGGATTTTGTCTGCTCAGTGGGTCCCAAACACTGAAACCAGGGCCTAATACTTAAATACTTCTGGAGTGAGTGAATGGCTAGTGGGTTAACCCCCCAGGGCTGGGGAGGCAGGGGCCCACTCTCTGGGATGAGAAAGAAGCATTCCCGGGTAGTCGGAAGACAGTGTCTTCCACATGGCCCTCTTGTCACATCTTCCCCCTTTTCACATCCTTCCTGGTATTTTCTGTAGGTTGCTGACTGCCCCTTCCTTTGACCTTTGTGTGGCTAAAAACGGTGCGTAACAGAGGACTCACATGGCCCCAGGCATCGTCCCTTGGCCCAGTGGGAAGGACAAAGATAACGAATATTTCATGAGGAGGATCTCATGAATTACAATCTTACAAAAACTTTTGCATCTCAAAATATTCTAGGGAACTTTACAATATCTACAGATTTGCTTTTTCTGCCTGATTATAGGTAACTCGACTGTTACCTGTAAGTCAACTGTTTATGATCTTGCAAGAAGACACTGCATTCAATTCTTTAGGGTATCAGAAGATGGAGTAGAAGGATTCCGGTTTTCGCTCCAGCTTACGTATTGAGTACACCTGGGTCAGTCGTGAAGCTGTTGTCTATAAAGCAGACATCACAATGTCTGTCCTGTCTTCTTGTCGCCCCGCCAGTGTTCTAGGAAGATGAAGGAAGTTCCCCAAGTTATTTAGGGGTAGCGTTGCCAGAGTTAAGATAGTATCCTTGTTCTGTATAGCAAGTAAACATACATTTTATGAAAATATGGTGTGTCCAGTTCGCATTTTAATTTCAGATAAACAACAAATAAGTTTTTAGTATGCATGGGGCACACTTACGTTAAAAATTACACCCTGATCATCTGAATTCCAGTTTTCACAGGGAGTCTTATATTTTATCTGCAATGCTAGTTGGAGGTCCCAGGAATATAAAGCTGAAACCTGCAGGGGATTCTTTCTGCAAGTGTCCTGACTGTACTGCCTGGCTGGAGTTTGTTTTTTGGTTTTTGGTTTTTGTATTTTTTTTTTGTTTGTTTGTTTTTTGGGTTTGTTCATAAATTACCTGGGGGCAAGTTAAGAAGTAAAAATGACACCTTGAAAGTAAAAAGCAAATGTACTACTTTGATCATAAGTACCTTAACACTGGGGGCACCTGGCTGGCTCAGTCAGTGGAGCCAGTGACTCTTGGTCTCGGGGTTGTAAGTTTGAGCCCCACACTGGGTGCAGAGATTACTTAAAAATAAAATCTTTAGGGGCGCCTGGGTGGCGCAGTCGGTTAAGCGTCCGACTTCAGCCAGGTCACGATCTCGCGGTCCGTGAGTTCGAGCCCCGCGTCGGGCTCTGGGCTGACGGCTCAGAGCCTGGAGCCTGTTTCCGATTCTGTGTCTCCCTCTCTCTCTGCCCCTCCCCCGTTCATGCTCTCTCACTGTCCCAAAAATAAATAAAAACGTTGAAAAAAAAATAAAAAAATAAATAAAATCTTTAGGGGCGCCTGGGTGGCTTAGTCAGTTGAGTCCTGATTTTGCACTGATGGCTTAGAACCTGCTTGGGATTCTTTCTCTCCCTCTCTCTCTCTCTGCCCCTCCCCTGCTCAAACACACACACTCTCTCTTTCTCTTGCTCTCGAAATAAATAAACTTAAAAAAATTAAAAATAAAGCCTTTATAAATACATACATACATATATACCTTAACAGTGAATCAATAGTCTTCTATTGCTTAGGGAGGGTTTCTTGTAGTACATTAATAGTTAGGTATACTGTTTAACTAAAAGAGATTTTAAAGTCAAGAAAACATGTAGGTCAGTGATGGTCAGGGCAGCAAGGCATGTAGCAAATTTCCTGTGTGTTATGTAGCATAAGACGTTATTCTAGGGTGAAAAGGAGAATCAGGAGAGGTTTAGGAGTAAAATGAAAGGATAGAATAAAGAGTTATGAATTTCCTCAACTTAACTGAATTAATGGGAGGAACTAAAGGAAATCTATGGTAGAGGGTTTGGGACATTAGCATCACCCCCTTTGCCTAGGTATCATGTCTGCAGTAAACGCAGTGACAAAATGTACAGAGCCTTTTCGCCATCCTGTCAGGGCAATACAAAGTGAAACTCAGTTTTTGCCATTATTAGCTCACAAGCCAGAGCATATCATTTTATGCTTTTGGGACGCACTACTATACCCCAGCAGCAAAAATACAATTAGTAGTGACCGTTAACTTTGACTGTGGCGTAGTTCTTAGGAATACAAGTTCTACAGCACATTGACCAGGTTGGAACTCCAGCTCTGCTACTTTCTAGCTACAAGGGAAGTCATACCTGTAATCCCATTTTCTCATCTGTCAAATGGGCATAGTAAAAACCCATCTCACAGGGTTGCTGTGAGCGTTAAATCTCGTAATATATACAAAATATAATTAGAACGTTACCTGACATATAAGAAGCACTCGATAAATGTTAGATAGATGCTGAAAAAGGAATTAGAGATCTAAGGCATGTTTTTCTTTTGCCTCAAAGAAGTTTCGAGCCTAGACCAGTGCTATCCAGTGGAATTTTCTATAATGATGAAATTGTTCTGCAATAGCCACTAGCCACATGTGACTATTGAGCACTTGAATGTGGCTTTTGCAACTAAGAAACTGAGTTTTTAATTTTACCCAATGGTAATTAATTTAGGTTTAAATAGCCACACGTGGCTAATGGCTACCATATTGGACAGCACAGGTCTAGACAACTATGTTGGTGAGCTCAGAAATTTAGGTCAGCTACTATTTTCTTAACTGCAGACTTTCAATCATTCTGCTCCTAGTTTTCACCATGGTAGCTTTCTGCCAATGTCTGAAGTAGTATATTATATTTGAGCTGGGTTATCCATGAATTGATTATTCAAATTCTTACCAGGCAGCTGAGGCTCTTAAAAAGCAAGGGGCAATCCTATTGTGCCTACCTGGGAATACTTCTGATGGCCTCTTCTCCATATATCTTTGAATTTTTCTTTGCTAGTAGACACTCCCCATCAATATTTAAATCTGTTAAGGGTCAGCCATCCAAAACAAAGCGAAAACTCCTCCTCAATCCCATCAGACCCTCCAGCCTCCGCTCCAGCTATCTCCCCACTCCTCATTCTCGGCCAAACATCTTAAATTAGTGATGTTCACCATCTGTATTTTCTGTTTTTCACAATTGCTCTCAAGCCACCCTGGCCTAATTTCACTTCCACCTCTGTGCTGAAATGACCTTAACAAATCATCAGTGGCCTTCTTTTCACCAAATCTAATGGACATGTTCGGTTCTGTTTGACTTGATCTCTCAACACAGCAAACCACTTCCTCTTACTTGAGATATCCTCTTTCCCTGGCTTTTCTGATGCCACATTCTCCTGATGTTTTCCTGGCTTACCTCCTTCTTAGTCTCCTTTGCTGGCACCACCTATTCTATGACCCTTTAAATTCTGAAATTCCTTAGGGTATTGGCCTCAACCTCCTGTTCTGATGCTACTTCCTGCATAGACCTAAGACAATCCCTATTGTGCTGTCTCACCCCCATATCTCCTGTCCCCAGGGACCCATACAACCAGCTCCTTGTGCCATCTGTATCCAGTTAGATGTCTCTCAGTCACCATTTTTACATGTCCAAAAGTATGTATGATCTTTTCCTCCCCAAACATTTCTCTTCCACTGTTTTCTATCTCAGTAAATGGTACCACCATTCTACCCAGCTGTCCAAGCCAGAAACTGGTGCTTTGAGACTTTGCCATTACTTACTCATGAATCTTCCCCCCTCTTTTTAATTTGTTTTGTTAGACACTCCGTGGAACCTTCAATATGAAGACTTACATCTTTTTCCACGTTGGAACATTTTTCTCTACTGTTACTCCCCTTTCCTCTATTCCCCATTCTCTGCATTATTACCTTCCAGAACTCTAATTAGTTGGATGTTGAAACTTCTGCTAGCTGCCTGTCACCAGCTGCATGAGTCTTTTGATACATACATATCAATTCTTGGCTCTTTTCAGAGAATTCCTCAGCTTGGTATTCCAAACCATTATCCACTCGTTGGCTTTGTCTTTTCTGCCATTTGTCCCTTCTGCTGAGATTTGCTTGAATTGCCGTCTTTTTATTTCCAAGATCTCAGCTGATTCTTTCAGATAATATTCTGTCCTGGGGCGCCTGGGTGGCTCAGTCAGCTAAGCATCTGACTCTTGGTGTTGGCTCAGGTCACAACCTCATGGTTTCTGGGTTTGAGCCACACATCTGGCTCTGCACTGACAGTGCAGAGCCTGCTTGGGATTCTCTCTCTCTCTTTCTCTCTCTGCATCTTCCTTGCTTGTGCTCTCTCTCTCTCTCAAAATGAATAAATAAACTGAAGTAACAACATGTTCTTATAATAGCCTGCATTATTCTTTTTTTCCCCTCACAAACTATTTTGCTTCTTTTTAATGTCTCTTGCTTTATTAACTGTTTTCTTGCGTTTTAGTGCCTTTATCTATTGAGTGTGACTCCCTTCTTCCTTGAATGTGTATATTTTTAAAAATTCTTATAATACTGAATGACTGCGTATCTTCTTTTAAGATCACCTGTTTACCTGTCTGTTACTGCCATTTCTCCTTGCCCTGGCCTGCCCAGGGATGGTAGGGGAGGGGAGAAGACTAGAATGTCAGTTAGTCTTCTGGTTGTTTCCCCTGGGTGTGGGCAGCTACTGGAGTGCTTCCCTGTCTCTTTTCCAAAGCCCACACTTACTGTTCTGGCCTGTTCAGACATGACAGCTATGTGCTGTTGCTACTGAGGAGTGTCTGAGACATCAGCCTGCCAATCTGCTGTTCACACATTTCCCTTAGCAACCTCTTTGGTTACTACAGGGCCCTAGTTACTCCTTACAAGGCTTTATCACCCAAAAGCTTTTCTCATTTCCAGTACCTCTGAGCTTGGAGCATACCTGGGGGCATTCTCATCTTCAGCCACAGCTGTCTCCTGCATGTGGTGGGCGTAGTTTCATCTGGCAGTCAAATCTAGCCTGCATGCATTCTCTTTTCCCCCATGCTTTTAAAATCTGTTCTTTATAGGGATATGAGGGTGGAGGGAAAAGCAGGAACATGTTTTTAGATCTATTTGATCTATTATTCAATCCATGATCATTGTACATGTTTTTATTTCTACTGATCTTTTAAGTCTTGAAAGAATTGGTTTCCCTTTGTAAATCTTCCTGAGTTTTTACACTATGCTGAGATATACTATTTAAAAATTTTCTTTTTTAGCACAATGGGACCCAAAAGTTTTCACAGCTTATGATGTTTTCCGTGTAAGTCTAATCACATCCGAGCTTATTGTAGAGGAGGTAGAAACCCAACGGAATGGTATCAAAGCTGTCTTTGATCTAGAAGGCTGGCAGTTTTCTCACGCTTTTCAAATTACCCCATCGGTAGCCAAGAAGATTGCTGCTGTTCTTACAGTAAGTGTATATTTTAACTCTTTGGGATAAATTTGTAAGGGATGGTGCATTTATCAGAAAATTAAATAAAAATTTTTAAATGATACACATAACTCAATGATGCTAAGAGGAAGTAAAGGGTGATTAATTCATGAAACAAAGAACGTTGCAAGAAACCAAAAATATGTTCAAAATTAGTAACCACAGAATTTATACATTTAAACAACAATGTGGTAATTTTCTCTTTTTGTTATTAAATTTTTCTTCCTAAATTAAAAGATTGACTCAAAACAATATTTATAGCAATGGTACAATAGAATGTAACATTCTTGGTAGGTATAAATTGATGCAGTTCTTTCAGAAATTAAAAGATTTTTAAGATGGCCATCATCTAATACTACTTTCGGGGGCCTAGCCAAGGAATAATCTTAAATACGGTAAAGACTTGGTATATACTATGTGCCAGGTACTTTGTTAAGTGTCTCAAGTGCATTACCATTTAATGGCCAAACGAGCCTATGGCTATTATTTTCCCATTTTACAGATTAATTAACTGTATCGGAGAGATCACAATGCCCAAGCACACACATTATGTCAGTAGAGAAGAAAGAATTCCAGGTCAGGTCATCTGAATGTAAGAGTTGTGCTTATTGCCTTATGTAAATGAAGACAGTTGCTTTGGCATCAATTTTTATAGATGAAAATTAGAAACAGCTTATTAGTGCAGTAACAGGAAAATGGTTACTTAAATTACGGTACATCCATTTAATAGATTATTGCAATGATATTAAAACTCATGATGTGTAAAAAAATCGTATTGTCTCAATAAAACAAAATAGGGTGCAAATTATTTAGAGACCATATTGGCAATTATGTTTAAAATAAAATTATTCACAGAAAGAATCTGGAAGGAAAAGCTCCAAATTGATAACACATCTCTAAAAGCTATGCATAGGAAAAAAATTTTTTTTTATGACAGAAACTTGGGGAGACAAATCAGTACATTAACAACACATTTTGGGTAGGAAAACTATTGATGAAATGTTTTTTATTTATCCTTAACTTTCCAAATAAACCTATGTTACTTTGATGTGAAAGACTTAACCTGGGTTAAAGGTTTAAAAGTGTGTGTTTATTCTTTCAACTTCTATGAAGTTTTAATTATTTTCTCAAAATAAAAATTAGGAGAACTATAAATATCCAAATGACTGATTGGTTCCTTGAAAGAACATGTACACGTGATTAGGGAAGATATTTTCTGTGTCTTACTTACAAAAGATGTAGATGGGTCTTAACATACTTTGTCTAAGCTGTAAGGTGAAATCTTTTTTAGAGATTTTCCTTACTCTAGCGACTGTGAACTGGAAAGGAGGCTATTGTATTGATACAATACATAATTCTGAAAATAAAATCCCACTTTAGGTCCTGCATGCACTAGGTATAGCAAGTGTTCAAAGAATGGACTGCTTGATAGGAATATATGTTAATTTATGCTTTGTTATTAACATTTTTTTATTTTCAAAAGGATTCCTTTCCATTAAAAGTTCGTGGTATCCATTTGATAAATGAGCCAATAATTTTTCATGCTGTCTTTTCCATGATTAAACCATTCCTGACTGAAAAAATTAAGGAACGGGTGAGTAAAAAACATATTCAAGTCACTATTCTTCTGTAGCAGACATTCCAATCCTTTTTTTATTTAAGGATTGCATTATTATCTCCCCTCCCCTCCTCACAATTAACCCAGTGTTGTAAGTGTTTGTCTAACAAACCAACTGCTTTTATAAATTAAGATTCCTTTTTAATTTTGAAAAACCAAGTTAGTGAGATTGGAGAAACTGGGCCTCTCGTTCATTGCTAGTGGCAGTGCAAAACGGCATATTCCCTCTAGAGGGCAGTGTGGTCATAGTTACCAAAATCACAGTCCTTGCACTTCTGGGATTTTATCCCACGGATCTACCAACACATTAACAAAATTACATGTACGAGAGGATTCACTGCAACAAAAGATTGGAAACCACCAAGTGTTCATCATCGGGGAACTGGTTATATAAACAGACACATCAACTCAATATAATTTGCAGGATGTATTGTAAAGTGAAATAAGCAAACGAAGGATAGCTTTTATAGTATGCTACCTTCTGTATAAAAAGGGGAGAAATCAGAATCTCTGGTTACAGCTGCATTAAAAGGATATACAAGAAAGCAACCTAAATGGTAGCAGAGGCGGATGAGGTGTGAGTAGGGACCAGGGCATCTCACTGTGTATCTTTTATCTTGTTTTGATTCTAGCCATATGAATGTGTTATCTGTGCAAATAAAAAATAAATGTATTTAAATTAGACATGCATGACTGAAAATCACAGTACCCTAGGTATGTGACTTAATGTCATGTTAGTTAAAGCAAAAAGATTTGATCGTTTTTGTTTTTGTCTTCTTTTTTGACCTATCCTGTGGAGGCTTATCTGAGGTGACTAATGTCTTTTAGGAGTTTTTCAAGTATCAAAAAGAAAATCTGAGTTCCCAAGAATGGCAACCACTCTTCTACATTAATCTGTAAAGGATAATTTGTAGAGGTTATTCAGTAGGAATTTCTATCTGTCTTCAAGAAGAACCACACCAATGAAGATGGCCACTTTTCATTCTAGTATTTTTAGAAAAGTCAGTTTTGGGGTGTTCATTATTGTCTCTCTTCAGTGTAGCTTCATAATGGCTGACCACCTTCGGTTTAACTCTAAAATGTCTAAAAATAAGTATTTCTATTTTGGGGTATATTCTGGACAAATAAAAGCAAAAATAACAATACACTCAACCTAACAAATAGGAGAATATGAGCAAAAAAGAAAGAAAAATAAAAAATTGAGAAGGAGGTGAAGCATTTCGGTGAAAGTTAATTGACATGAAATGGACTTGCCACAATTAGAGAAGTGGGGACCCAGTCCAGCCCTTCTCCTCCCATTCAACCTTTTGCCAGTACCCTATGAATGTTCTTATTTGGCCCTTCCTGAGGAGATAGGAGATTTTCTTTTCAATGAGCTGATGATATTTTAAACATTTCAGAAGAAGCCAAGAATTGGGGCTCTGAGGTTCCTGAGGAACTTGTTTTATTCTTCTCATGCACAGATGAACATTTTACCCTAGCAGATGGAAAAAGGGTACTTATTTGTTTCTAGCAACATGTGCTAAAGGTTCTAAGTCTTTATTTTAACTTCATGGCATTATATGATCAATTTTTATAGTTTAAAGTATTTGAAAATTTAAGGTTCTCCACCATAATTGTCTCTTAATTCTTTAATAGCCAATTTAATAGCCATTAATTGTATCACATAAATTACTCCCCACATACATAGCTGTGTGTGCAGATATATGCTTTTATTTCATATGAACTGATACCAAGTAGCACATTTTTTTATCATCTATAGAAGAGTCTCAGGATGTTAGATGTTTTGAATCACATGTACATTAGGGAACAGAATGTATAAAATAACTTTATTTAGAGTTTAAAAAAATCTATTTTTTAAAGTTTATTTACTCAAGGGCTGGGGGGATGGAGGGGCAAAGAGAGAGGAAGAGAGAGAATCCCAAGCAGGCTCTCTGTTGACAGCATGGATTTCACGAATGGTGAGATCATGACCTGGGCCGAAATCAAGAGTCACATGCTTAACGGACTGAGCCACCCAGGTGCCCCTAAAAATCTATTTTTGAAAGAGGATAGAAGATCTTTTTATAAATCTTATATAGTCATCAGAATACAAACATGTATAAAAAACAGTAAGATGATTAGACTCATAAGCAACACAATACAAACTTAAGTAAAATTCTTACATAAGAAGAGAAATAAAGGGCATAGTGTCTATTCATGCTCTCCTATCTTGAAAGTCATTAGAGTGACTTATTTTATGGTATTGATTTTACATTAGAAATGCATCTAGTAAACTGAGAGGCTGGGGCGTATCTTCTCAAACATTTTGGCTATTTCAGATTCATATGCATGGGAACAATTACAAACAAAGCTTACTTCAGCATTTCCCAGATATTCTTCCTCTGGAATACGGTGGTACAGAATTCTCCATGGAGGACATTTGTCAGGAGTGGACAAATTTTATAATGAAGTCTGAAAATTATCTCAGCAGCATTTCACAGATCAATCAATGAGAAGAAGTTATTTAATGTGAATATTAAATATACATGAGTGAGATCCTACCTGGTTACATGAATGAAAGAAAAATAATCTTTTTAAACTAGTTAATGCTTGTCTGATTGATCTTCTAAAATGTAAAACTCTTCTGACATGAGCATCATAGGGATTTGGAAAACTGCTTTTTAAGTACATTTTATCTTTCAGGTAGTTAAATGTTAGTACTTCTTGAAAGCATAGAAGAGATTCCTGGTTTTTGTACTTGAAGTTATCTCTTAAAGTAGCTATTCATGTTCACCTTTGTATATTTCTGAAAAGTTTCCTTTTAACCAAGTTATTTGACTACATTGGTTTAGGAATAAGTGTACTACAAATAGTCCATGAAAAAGAAGTATTAGTACAAATCATCTGATGATAAAAATCTATCAACATCCATCATGGGTGGGTGTCAGATTAGATTATAATTCAGATTAAAATCTGAATACAGTTTTACAGAGTTATTTCTATGGGCCAGCAAGACCGTTTATCTCAGGGAGGTTCTATTTCAGCATAATTTACACAATAGAAAATTTTGATTGAAGAGTCTAGATACCATAAACTATTGTATGTAGCATCTAGAGGTCTCTGAAATTACTCATGTTGACAAAATTGATAATCAAAAATAATTTAGGAAATATTTTAGGTATAGCTGATGGCTTCTTAATACTATTTCTGCATTTTCAAACAAATCAAGAACGTAATTTTGACTTCTGTTTTTAGTTATCTTATCAAGACTACACAGAGACTTAGAAATGGAATAATACTTAGTAGTCATACATGGACTCTATTTTTAATTGAACAATAACACAACTACACAAAGGAAAGGAAATGTTTACATTTTAAAAATCACTGTCAGTTACACCTGGAACTTTTCAGATTATGTATGAAATAATTTAACTTTTAATATATATCAGAATATTCTAGAAAAATTCTATAATTCATATTTACTTTAAAAAATCAGTAGTTAAAACGTGCTGTTTATATTATAGCTTATGTCATAGAATATTTCATTTATTAAGAAAGATACAATGTCAATATAGCTTTCAATTTATGACACAGTGTTTCATAATTTTTAAATTTTATTTTAAGTTTGAAAAGAAAAAAACAGCGCAAATTTGTTACACATTTGTTCAACTTTAATCATGCAATAGTATCTTTGTGAAAGGATATATGAAGGGTACTTTTCTTTATAAGAAAATTATTCTAATCAGGTGAGCTGATAATTTTAATTCTCTGTACATATGTCTATGAAAAAATTGAGAGCAACTGTGAATGTTCATTAGAGAACAAATTTTGATTTAGCATTGGGAAGCTAACTTTACATTATAATTTTTATTAAAAAATTAGATTGTGCCTGTTTTCTAAAAAAAAATCATAAAGACTTCCTTACAAAATTATATAATTCACAAAATTGTATGATTAAAAATAATAGAATAAAATCATTGAAAAACAATAAACAATAACAACAACAAAAAGCTCTGGTTTACCCAACTTTTATTTTTCTATAAAGGAGGTTTATATCCGAGTTCCACTTCATTTACGTTTGGATGCTTAAAACACTTACTCATGACTCTGTGAAGGAATGATTACTTTAGCACGTGAATAAAGGATAGTATTTAAAAATGTTTTTTAAATGTGATTCACTGGTGATGTTATTAACAGTAAATAGAATTAAAATATGTCAGTCAGTAGAAGTGCATTTCATGATGGTACTGTGACATATTTTTTTAAATGCAGCAATTCACTTAAAGAACATGAAAAGAACAAGGCGAAATGAGCAGGCAATTTTATAAGGTGGCAGGATAAATAACTATCAAATTGTCTATATTACTAAGTTACTGTATATTACTTTACTGTAATTGCACCAGAAGTGCCTTTTACAAAGTTAACTCTAACATGTGCTCATTATGTTACTGAGCTGCACAATAATTTGTGTTAATATTGTTCAAAAATAATAAAGATCTTTTACATAAGCTATAGCTGTTTCTTTCTCGTTTTTAAATATCAGTATTAGGCATTCATTTTCAAAAATTGCTTTTCCTTACAGGTAAGCTTAGGAAAAACTTACCAAATCTGGTTGTCCAGTACCCAAAGGCTAGTTTTCCTTTGTCAGTTTTCATTGCAGGCTGGTTTTCCCGGCTGCTTAGCTCAGCATCATCTTTCTCTAATGCCTTTGGCTGTGCTTAAAGGGACCGCAAGCCAATTTCATGAAACTAAGCCATGCAGACTTAAAGAAGTTAAAACTTCTAAGTGAAAAAAGAGTGTGCTACTTAATCAGATAATTTAATTTTGAAACCAAATCTGCTGTTAGCCTGGATCATGACTTTACTTGTCAAACTATATATTTTTCTTATGGAAATAACACTGAAGTCATAGAGCGCATATTCTCTTTGCCACTCACCTGAATGAAGCCTAGAGCTCACGGAACAGGTCAAACATACAAACCAGCCCAAAACTCAGCACACTAGTAGCATGATGTTGTCTGAAACCCTCCTTACTGGCCTTACATGTTCGTTGAATTTTGCCACTCTCAGAGGCTGTGGAGGAAGTAGGAGTTACAAAGGAAGAACTAGAAATGATGGTAATAAAATTAGGATTGGCAGCCGTACGTCTCCACTAATTTTCTGGTTAGCAAGCACACACCATCTTCCTCCTGCCCCCACACCCAGTATTCGCTTGACCACTCCCTTCTCTCTCCGAGTTGACCACATTCATCCATTAAGCATCTACTTTTGGTAACACTGTACACGGACTTAGTACTATAGTGAACAGAAAACTTAACTAGATGCTACCTAGAAGAGAGAAAATACATCTCCAAAATAGGTGAAGTGCAGTATAGTGTAAGCTTTATTAGAAGGGTTCCAAGAGAATGCTTTGGCAGGAAGGATCATTTCTATGTGGGGTGACTGAGGATGTGTTCTTAGATGAGGTACAATTTGAAGCTTTAAGAATTGACTGCCCTAGAGAACAATGAAAACTGAAGACAGGAAAGATATTCCAAGAAAAGAAATAGCATGAGCAAAGACTTAGAGATGAGAAAGAATAGGCCATGTCTGAGAAACAGTAAATAGTCCTGTTTTGGAGGGAGGGGATGGGAACAGGAGAGTGAGCCTGTCTGGGCTGACAGCTCAGAGCCTGGCGCCTGCTTCCGATTCTGTCTCCGTGTGCCTCCCCCGTTTGTGCTCTGTTTCTCTCTCTCTCTCAAAAATAAATAAACATTTAAAAAATTATATAAAAAATGAAAGATGCACGTGACACAAAATATGGGAAGCCTTGAACACCCACTGAAAGGCACTCAAATGTATGGATTACTTACTTTGTGCCAGACAAAACAGGAGATTCAATTCAATCTTTGCTGAAAAAAAAAATGGCCCATTTTTACAGAAGAGAACTGAACTCTAAAAGTGTCTGTCCCTGGCTCAGGATCACAGAGCTAGTAAATGCCAGCATCAGACCGAACTTGGCTGGCCTTGCTGTGAAGTCCACACCCTCCACGACACCACCATGCTCCTCACAGACCCAGTTCCACAGATCACCAGACTCTACCAATCCTACTTGGAAATGTCTGGCCCTGACCCACCTCTAAGGTTAATCACCTCTCATCAGACCTGTTGTAATAGCCCACATTTGACTACCAGTTTCTCATTATTCCTGACCTGACGTTCCCCTTCCGCTGTTGCCAGAGTTACATTCTGCAAGATTTTATTACCTGAACTTTGAGACAGCAGCGCTGGGTGTATGGGAAACTGCTAATTGGCGCCCGAGGCCTCTTACAACCAGTCCCAACCTGTTCTTCCATTCTCGCTCTGAACCCCACCTATACTGTAGGCACACATCCTTTTCACCACTTTGAAACTCTCACCCTCTCCACACAGGACATCTCAGTATCAATAGCAAGGGAGGTGGGGAGGGAGGGAGGGAGGTAAAATGTGTGTGTTCCGTACTTTGAAGCTTCACTCTTATTGTTTCCTCTGCTCCGTGCTCTTTCCCACTTTCTCTGTGTGCTCAATCTGCAAGGTCCTGCTCACCTGTCATATCTGTGAAACCTCTCACCCTCTCGAGAATTCTTTGTTCCTGCTTGTGGATCCTCTGTGTGGATGTCTAAAACAATCCTTGTGACCCTGAATTTATAGCTACCTGCCTGTCTCCCTGCTCGACAGTGCTCTTAAATGCAGTCTTCTTCTTCTTTTTTTTTTTTTAAGAATTTTTTTAAATGTTTTATTCATTTTTGAGACAGAGAGAGACAGAGCATGAGCAGGGGAGAGGCAGAGAGAGAGGGAGACACAGAATCTGAAACAGGCTCCAGGCTCTGAGCGGTCAGCATAGAGCCTGACGCGGGGCTCGAACTCACAAACCGTGAGATCATGACCTGAGCCGAAGTCGGACGCTTAACCGACTGAGTCACCCAGGTGCCCCTAAATGCAGTCTTCTTTACCTTTGTCTAATAGTATCTAAGCAGCATCTAGCAGACGGTCAATACTCACAGGATGCAGACCTTACCGAGGGATATTTCTCGGTGCAAGGCTGGGTGACAGCCCTCAGGGGAACAATCACAGGTGGATGAAGGTCTGCCTTGTGCTATATGGGATACCGTTTACTGGGAAGCTGGGCTGTCCATAGGAGCCTCCCTACAGATTTTCAGACTTGACCTCCTCTCTCTACTTTTTATCTCTCTCTCATCCTAAATGTTAGCTGTGTTACAATAAGGTCCTACCCTGTTGACCTTTATTTCTGCCTCAAACTTCAATTCGTTTCTATGTTTTAAGTATCTTAAGTGATTGGCTTTAATTTTTTAGCTGATTTTAAACTTCACTTCCTTTACTTCTACACCCACAGACATACAAACTATAGGCTGGCCCCAGTGCAGTTGTTCCAGAGACTCATTAACTGCGTTGAATAAATAGGCTCCACCCCTGTGGCAGTCTGGCTGTCATCGGGAGCTCCCTCTCCAGTCCAACAGAGCTGTTGTGGCAGGTCA